TAATTAATAGGGACTCCCTAGTTATCTAACCTATATAATAGGGGTTATATTAGCAGGTAGATAGGGTAGTAGTAGGTATAAGTAGTATTCGATAAGGATCTAGGAGAAGAGGGAGGAGGGTAGGCAAGTTAGCCTAATACTAAGCGCTAAGCCCTACCTAAGGCATTAAGACCCTAGCTTTACTCGGCCTAGTTATATACTAATTACGTATAGCCTCTTTAGCCCTAATATACGCTTCCTTTCTAAAGGCCGCGCCCTCGTAGCCTTTCTATATTCTAATCTCGACCTCTATTACTACTAACTTAGTAGATCTAATAAGCTACTTAGCCCGCGCCGAATTGAATAATTAACTACCTAATTATATAACTATATCAAACCTTACCTTCTAATAGTAATATAATACTCTAACTGCGCTATCCTTATATATAATAAAGTAATATATATCTATAAGAACTAAGGGCTATTAACTAATTATAATACGAGCGCGTCTTTCCTACTATAATAGGTAGACATACGAGGTATTATAGCACTGCCTCCGTTCTAAGTAATGTTATCCGAGTTCTTTGCGTCTACTCTAAAAGACCTAGTAATATTCGTTTCGAGGGCTAATTACTATTATTTACGAGGGCTATTTACTATTCGTAGTTTCGCTAGCTCTAATTAGTTAGGTTTAGTAGCATTTAATTGTTAATTCTTCTAAAACACAGTTCGTCTAGTTTCTATAGGTAATAGCTATTATAAGCGTAGTTATAAGAAGGGGTTATATTAGCAGGTAGATAGGGTAGTAGTAGGTACAAGTAGTATTCGATAAGGATCTAGGAGGAGAAGGAGGAAGGCAGGCTAGTTAGCCTAACGCTAAGCGCCAAGCCCTACCTAAGGTACTAAGACCCTAGCTTTACTCGGTCTAGTTACATACTAATTACGTATAGCCTCTTTAGCCTTAATATACGCTTCCCTTCTAAAGGCCGCGCCCTCGTAGCCTGTCTATATTCTAATCTCGACCTCTATTACTACTAACTTAGCAAGTCTAATAAGCTGCTTAGCCCGCGCTAAATTAAATACTTAACTACCTAATTATATAACTATATTAAACCTTACCTTCTAACACAATGTCTAACTCTAACTGCGCTATCCTTGTATATAATAAAGTAAAGCGATATATATATAAGAATTAAGGGCTATCGACTAATTATAATACGAGCGCGTCTTCCCTACTATAATAGGTAGGCTTACGAGGTATTATAGCACTGCCTCCGTTCTAAGTAATATCGTACCGAGTTCTTTGCGTCTACTCTTAAAAGACCTAGAAATGTCCGCTTCCGAGGGTTGTTCTTATTATTACGAGGGCTATTATTATTCGTAGTTTCGCTAGCCCTAATTAGTTAGGTTTAGCAGCCTTTAAGTATTAATTAATCTTATCTTTTCAAAAACATAGTTCGTCTAGTTTCTATAGGTAAAGGCTATTATAAGTGTAATAGTTAAGGTTCGCCTCGCTTAAAGGGTTAGAAAGATCGAGGAGTAACCTATTATCCGCAAGATCGACCCCGGCTAGCTTAGCTCTATATTTTTGCCCTTAGTTAGTCTATTAATCGCTTCTAAGCCTCGAGCCCCTCGAATAGTTCAATCCTTTTTAGCTTAGTTAATACAGTACTTTAGGCTCGTAGTATAGGTAAGGTTGTATCTATAGGCGTAGTA